GTGATGGAGATTTACCGCTGATTACAGAACCGGCTTCTCTGACAAGATGCGCGTTAAATATCGCATGCGATTTATCGTGCAGCCCTATTGTTAAACCATGTTTATGACCTCATAATAATTTATATAATTTACATTAACTAATTTAGAAAACACTTTTAACCAAAGCAACCTACAATGCAGTCCACATGTATTCTCTCTCCATCTGTAATACTAAGGAGGTTTTGATTCATGACTTCCATCTCCAGACTGATGGCCTTTCTAGGCAGTACAAATGCCCCACTAAAACAAGTGCCCTTAAAACAGAACCAGGCTTACAGCTGATGCACGATAGCCTTCTCTTTCTCAAGTACACCTCACACATCCCACCTCTCTCATTAGAACGGTCACATCTCCCCTGGTGCAACACTAAGCCTCATACTCAACCGTTTGACACTTAATGGGCTGTGGCTCTTGTTTCCTTTCTCTAATGATAATTCAATTACTGCTTTCACATCCGGCTGCACTGACATTTAAAACTAGCCTCTAAAATGTAATATTGAAACTATCTGGTACCTGCAGCAGTGGTGAGGGATTTGATTTACAATGGTGTATTGGAATGGCAGGAGGCTGGCAGGTGATCGTGCGTGTTGCAGTGAGCTGTTGTCTGTATGTAAACTCATAACTTCAGTGTTAATCCATTCACAGGGTCACCATGACACAAATACATTTGTGACCATGACAAAATGTACATTGTTCTGTCCCCCTTGTTTATTCACAGTGTCCGGTAAGTGGACTCTTTTCCTGGAGGATCACATTGCAGCACTCTTGGAACACCTTAGAGCTTAGCATCTTGTTTTAGGGAACAACAGCAGCATTCAATAGATGGCCAGCAATGTCAGCAGAACAGTAGTGGCGTAGTGTTCATTTTTACACAGTTCTATCATGACAACTCTTGGATGATTTTAGAATGGTAATGGATATGACCGTGTTAATGTATATGGTCTTGCCGGAATAGATCTGCTACGCTGCTGAATTGCTGCTGCTGTTGTTTTTTGCTGTTGTTGTAGATTATTGCTGCTGATGATGTGAAGCAAGTACAGGAAATTGCTACTGCCAATACATATGTCGATTCGGTGCTGTAAGTATTTAAGACGTACTGCTGCTGCACAAGTAGCTTATGCAGTATAATAACCCATAGCAGATCTGTACAGGTGGAGCTGGGGAAGGTGGAGGGTTTCAGAGAAACTCTGAAAGCGTGCTGCGAACTGCTCTAGTGAATGCTGACCAGCCATTTAAATGTAAAGCAGTAAACTCTCTGGCTGTGTATGCAACATTAACCAATCAGCATTTGCCAAGTAGTTTAACGCTGTGTATACCATCAATTTGCGTTAACGACCCATCAGCCTGCACCCTCTAGAGTTTCATGACAGAACTTGACATTTGTTTTTATTCCTTTTGATGAAAGTGTCCTTTAAATTTAGTAAATATTTTGTCATATTTAATATAATTTGTTGTATATTTACAGTAACTCAAAATATGCATACATTTTATTATTATATTGTGAAAGTTTTGCTTAATTTATTCGCTGTCTGTGTTTTAATGCATTTTTATGGGAAGAACCCATTCACAATATTCACTTGAAAATTGCGTAATTTTGTGCAGATGTAAGTTGTAACATTTATGTTGCAAATATCTGATAAATCTCATATGTAAACTGCCATTCAAAATTTTGGAGTTGGTAAGATTTTATAATGTTTTTGAAAAGACTCTTATGCTCACCAAAGCTGCATCTATTTTATGAAAAATACAGTAAAAACGGTAATATTGGGAAATATTATTACAATTTTAAATAACAGTTTTCTATTTTAATATATTTTAAAATGTAATTAATTCCTGTGATGGCAAAGCTGAATTTTCAAGTCTTCAGTGTCACATGATCCTTCAAAAATCATTCTAATATCCTGATATTCTTGGTACTCAAAGAAAAATCTTACTATCCATGTTGAAAACAGTTGCTTAATATTTCTGTGGATACATTGTTTTCAGGATGATTTGATAATTGGAAATCTTATGCAACAGTATAAATGTCTTCATTGTTTGAACAGTTGAATGCATTCTGAATAAATGTATTCATTTCTTTCAAAAGAAAAAAAAACTTACTGACCCCAAAAACTTTAAGTCAGTTAACCAGCCAGCAAAGCTCTACAGTTTACAGTGTTCATTGATTCTTCAGCTTGCGCAGCTCAAGTGGGTCAATTAATCAAACAATTTTAAGTACATTGCTAATATCACATAGTGTAATTTTTTTACTTTCCATATTTTCGCTGTTTTGATTAAAATCCATCTATTAAGTGCAAACATTGCCTGTCTTTTAACATTAAATGTCAAACAACTTTGAAAAGTTTTGCTATAGATTTTTTTCTTTCCTGAGGTCAGCTTAGGTTAACATTGCCATCAATATTTGCTTAATATTTCAGTGTGTTGTGTTAGCATGTGGCATGCCTGTGACTCTGGATTATGTGCAGTGGCAGATAACTGAAACTGGTTGCCAGTGGATTGGAGTTTACATATAGACACATTTTCTCATCTCATCTCAAGCCATGATTTCCTGTCAGTTTTCTTTTTCAAGATACAGCGTGATGAAAGATGCCTGAGTTCAGTATCCTGTTTTTCTGTCTGCCTGTCTGATTTAAATGGACCGCTGCTTTACTCAGGCCTGCTGGCAGAGTCTTTGTCCTGAGGCTAGCGAGTGTCAAAGTGCCGTTCAGGAAACTCTGTATGTTCACTTAAGCCGCCTGTCCACTTGCTGACTGCAGTGGCTCTGCAGTCAGTGGCTTTATGCGCAGTAGTGGCTTTAGTCGCAGTAATGTGCTAGAGATGCAGGAATAGCGTGTGTCATTTGTGTGTCAGATTATAAGAGAGCTCATCTCAGTGTTTACGGTCTGCGGGACGTACACTCGCGTTGACAGACACCATCGCACTAAGGACCACAACAGTTAGCTTAGACTAGAGATTTTTTTTTCATTTTTAATCTATGGTTTCCTCTCTGATCTCTGACTTACAACTGTGTCTTATGATATGAAATGTTTCTGCAAATACTCTGTAGAGGTATGCAGAACTGTTATTGTTTGTTTAACTGAAAAATCTGTCAAGATTTTTTCTTTGCTAATTTGTGTCCTCAAGCTTCTAGTGTAACACTATATATAAAAGACACTCTCCTCTGTAAGGTTCTTCTATCTATCTATCTATCTATCTGTCTGTCTGTCTGCTCTCTCTCTCTCTCTCTCTCTCTCTCTCTCTCTCTCTCTCTCTCTCTCTCTCTCTCTCTCTCTCTCTCTCTCTCTCTCTCTCTCTCTCTCTCTCTCTCTCTCTCTCTCTCTCTCTCTCTCTCTCTCTCTCTCTCTCTCTCTCTCTCTCTCTCTCTCTCTCTCTCTCTCTCTCTCTCTCTCTCTCTCTCTCTCTCTCTCTCTCTCTCTCTCTCCGGCTGTCCATCTGTCTGTCATTCTGTCTGTACTCAATATAGCATTTTAATTAATTATTTGTAGCATCATGATCAATACATAACATTTATTTGAAAGAAAAATGTGGCATATTTTTTCTTCCATTACTCTATTACAATCACTGTCTGAAGCTTACTTTATCCAGAATAATTGTGAATAAACTTTTAGGCAAGAATGTGATTTATTCATGAGATTAAAATTGTTGAATGAAATTATGCCTTCTGCACAAGAAGTCATCAGAAATTAAGGCTAGCGGACAATCTGCATTCTGCATACTCAAATGTTTGTCATGAATATTAATGGCTGGTCAGACTGCATAATAGACCTTACTTCACTCCCACACTCATAGAACTGCAGCAGTCATGTGCACTGAAGTCACTAAAATCTACTCATGTGAGAATTCTGCTCATTTAAATCACCACACAGTATCTTTTGTTATAGAACAAATAGAAAGAAAGAAGAAAAAGCCACATCTGTTATTTTATCAGCTCTTTTTAACATGTGACTCTCAAACCAGATTTGTGTTTGTCCTCGGACATTCTGTCATGCGTAGGCAGTGTGGAATATCAAGTACGAGCTGATCTAACACAACATAGTGAGAGCTAGACCTTCCCACTTTCTCTCTAGTACACACACACTCTCTCTCTCTCTCTCTTGCTTGCTCGCACTCGTCATACTATGCTGTTTTATATACTCTCTCTCTCGCTCAGAATTTATGCATTTGCTCAGCACATAGTGGGAAACATTACTGGAAGTTGATCTAAACCAGAAGCCTGATTATGAAAACTGACTGTCAGTTAACATTAGGAATACTGGATGGACAACAATAAAGCAACTGAAGAAAGTGGGGAATAAAAAGGAGCAAGTTCACTTACAGTGCAGTCAGAAGAAGAAGAGCGGATAAGCGTGCGCTTGATGTGCTGCAGTGTGACGTGGATGGATGTGGGATTTCTCCCCTGTTCTGTGTGTTGATGTGATTGGTGCCCAGAGTTCACCGCTTCACGGGCTGCTGCTGCCCTGGAGCCAGAGCGCAGGAATTCACTCTCACACTTGCGCACACACACGCACCGAGACACTTACTTACACACATTTCACAAACACAGACGGCACATGGACAGATGCACTCTCTGGCAGCACTTCAGAGTGATAACTGTACTTGTGGTTTAAACAGAGTGTTGCTCTCACCTTTTTGACAGCTGCCACATCCATTCTGACCTTTTTTAACGACATTTTCTTCAAGTTTTAAGAAAAGTGACTGTCTTTCTCCTCGTTGTCCTCAGGGCAGGAAGACACTTGTCTTTAGTTGTTGAGGTAACAGCATTGGGAGATTTTAGGACTAGTTGCTCTTTGTAGTGTCAGCATCCTCACCGTGGTAAAGCTGTCTGCGGGGGCATGCAGGTGTCTTTTGTGTGCACGGACCACCGAGCTGTCAGCCGCAGCACAGAGGACCGACTGAACCGACAGAACACCAACAGCCCGAGTTTGGGGACAAAAAGCAAGTTTCGTGCTGTGGCGATGGTGGCCCGCAGCCTGGGCCAACTGTCTGTGCAGAACATGCCTTCCTCTAGTGACCACTGCTTGAGAACTGGCATGAAATATAGGTAGGTGAGAGGGGAACTCCAAGAATTAACATGTAGCACTTTAACCTTTCTGTGCTGTTTCCAGTTTAGACTGTTTGTAATCAGATGTTCACGTGATTTGAGCAAAGTAAAGTTGTCTCAAACCGAAAATTGTGACTCTTGAGATATGATTTGTTATGCAGGGTCAGTTTGGTTCACAGGTTTAACAGTTTAAAGTTGTCACGGTTTAAAAGGAATGTCTGAAATGTTATTTAGTTGATTGGTTAGTTGTGTAGTTGGCTGGTTAGTTAGTTTGTTCATTGATCTCTTGTGGTTAAGTTAGTAGTTGTGAATGTTGAGATGGTAGTGATTGAGAAGCATATTTTATCATATTTTATTCAGTGCACTGTAAAATATTTGTGAATTAAAAATATTAAAAATAATTACAAATTATGAGTAATTGATTTGGTTTGTCTGTTTGTATTTATATATACACTGCTGTTCACACTGTCTCTTATGCTCACCAAGGCTGCATTTATTTGATCCAAGATACAGTAAAAACAGAAATACTGTAAAATATTATTTCATATTATTATTATTATTAAACCGCTTTCTATTTTAATATTAAAAAAAATGTAATTTATTCATGTGATGGCAAAGCTGAATTTTCTGTAGCCATTACTATAGCCATTATACTTCATTGTGGCACGATCCAAATATTTGTGAATTTAAAAATTGAGAATATTTCAAATAATTAAATCATAATCATGATTTGTTTTCTTTTTGTATGTATATACATACAAAATATTTTATCTAAATATTTTTTGGGCTCGTTTTTATATAAATCTGCTCCATATTGGTTAATTTCCGAAAGTCATGTTTGTTTGTTTGTTTGTTTAATACAGCAATCGATTTAATTAGCATTTCCCCATTTCTATTTTCATTCATTTCCATCTAACGATCACTTAATCTAACACTAACAAATTAATAACATTAAATGTAATTCGTAAATGTCTTTTTTAAATGTAATTGTTAATAAATCTCAATATGAATATCCATTTTTTTCATGCTGTACATTATAATGATGTCATGCCTAAATTCGCTTATAGCATTCAAAGCAGTTGAATTCAGTTTGAGGTGTTTTATTTTAGACAAAATAATATAAATAGTAGTAGTTTTAATATCGACCTCTTGACATCTCCAAAGTTAAAGATCAAGTCTTTCATTTGACTAATTGACTGAATTTGTGTAGACGCATTGCTCTGCTGTTTGGGTTCAGAGGAGGGGTTAGAGATGGAGATTTCTGTTAGTGCCTGTTAAACCCATTAGCATGTCCTCTATATGAAATAGAGATGCAGTGTGATCATGTTCCACTGCTTAGCATTATTAGGAGCACAGGATGCTCTCTCACTTTTTCGACTGCAGCGTTCATACAGCCCACGGTCTTTTGTAACATACCCGTGCTGCTTACTATCTGCTCACTGATAAAATAATAGTGTGCTCGATCCTTAAAGTAAGCCCACCCTCCCTCCTCATTTTTCCATACTGTAATTTGTGTAATTGTACATCAAAGGTACTTTGTAGCCATGCAAGGTAATGTAGAGTGTCTTCCACTTCCTGATTAAACTAATGTGTAACTGAACACCTGAAAAGCTTCTCTTTTTTGCTGCACTGCTACCAAATGTCTTGGCCCTTAAAGCTAATTCCCCCATTGTAATTAAGTCTTTGAAATTCAAAGCCATAAATATGTAAGTGTCATGTCATAGTCGTGAAGGCTGGGTTTATTCCACTGGAATACGAGATGAGGCTTACGGACGGTTTTTGGACTTGCTTAACATGATTTGTGTGTGTAATTTTAATTTACCTGATCAGAATTATGTCTTTATTAATAAAAAACAATCAGATTTGCACTACTTTTTTGTTTTCTACACACATTGGCTGTAAGAGTGAATAACTCACAACATAATTATACAATAATGTGGATCTATTCATGTAGTTATGGATCTGCTGATTAGACAAATTGTAATATATTTATTTAATGTCTATCTGTTTTTATGACTTTATGACTGTCTGAATATTTGTTTTCCATGCTGAGCCTTTTTTCTTTTACTGTGGAAATCAATAGAAGATATTTTGAAAAATGTCTGTGTTTTTTATCCGTACTATAAAAATCAATGGGGTCCAAAGATGTTTGAACATTCTTCTTTTGTCTTTTACAGACAAAAGGGTCATACTTGCTTGGAATGACATGAGGGAGTGGAAAAGATGAAATTTTTTTTTGGGTGGACTATCCCTTTAAGTTTGATCTGGTATCATGTTCACATCAATTCTCTGAGGGTCTTTGCTGAAATTATGACACAGTCACAATTTTCCTCTCAGCAGTTTGCAGCTACAGTGCAATGATGTTGATGAACAGAAACAGACTATGAATGAGTAACATGGTAACCTCTCCATGTCTGATGAGCCAACATTAAATAAATGAATATTTGGAGATATTCATATCATATTGTGGTGAGGATGAGTTTACGCACATGCACCTGAGGCAAGAACCTTTAAAAACCATACATACTTGTGTGACTTGCGTCCGTTGTGGTCTTACATTTGTGAATGCTCACTCATGAAATGTCATGAGCTGATAAATGCAACCTGGAGGGTTTGTTCCTGTCGTCCCATTCTGTGGCGTGTATCTCTCTGGGCGCTACAATTATCCCTTGACTATTATCAAAGTTCCTGTGCTCGTTTTGTACACGAATTCAAACGACACAGAATGAGAATGATGAAGAGGGTTGTGTTGAGGCATTGTGTAAGTGTGTGTATCTCTGGGGCCTGCAGAAAGAAAACTGAAGTGGTGATTACATAAACGTACAAATGGGCTGCAGTTTCTGCCTGCTGTTCCCTGGGCAGTAAACAGCAGGACTGCTTCAGTCTGGCCAGCCAGTTATGCAAGCTACCCTTTATCAGTGGTGGACAGTAACGGAGTAGTTTTACTTCGTTACTGTACTTAAGTAAATTTTTCAAGTATCTGTA